AGGCATCTTTCCCTCACTAGATGAAAATTTGCAAGTGTAGTAAAAGCAACCACCAAATTTTGTTTTTGTTGAAGTCTTCTAGTGATTTTATCAGGGTCCTTTTCCTTAAGGTTAAATGTAAAGAACCTTGCTATCCTGAAGTTAAGTAATAGGTCTGGGTTAGAAATTATATTTTTTCTCAACTTTATCTAGCTCTGTTAGTCATTAGGTAACACATTTAAATGAATGCCCTTTTAAATGCTTATTAATGATTTCATATGAAAGCAGCATTGATCACTAATGTTAATCTCTTTCTGGGAAAGGTGTAATTCATTAATCCTTTTAGTGATTTATTTGTGCAATTTTAATAGTAATGTTTAATTTTTTCTAAAAGTAGTAACTTTTTTTGAAGTATATGATATGAGTCTGTACATTTACCTTTATAATGAATGCAAAGATTCTTCATAGAATAATAAAATGTGTTTATTATAAAAAGTGTTATATGTCGCTTGGAAAAATACCATTTTAGAAACTCAGGTGGGTTTTTTTTCACTTTTTTAAATCATTTTTTAGAAATCAATGAATTTATATCAAAGCTACTACAATTGCTGGTGTATAATTACCTATTTCTCTAAAAGTATTGTTTCCTCTAATGTATTCTCAAATTAAAATTTTTAAAGATAAGCAATCAAGCTTGAAATAATTCTATCATTTGCCATCTGAATTTAGAGCAGCTGACACTTGGAGTTGGGACTGGCTTGCCCGAGGTCATGTGTAAGAAATTTGTATTTAATTTTCAGGTTAAAACTGTAAGTCTACCGCATCAACTACTCATATATTTAATCATTTAATAAGAAGAATCTGAACTAGAATTTTTAACTCTCTATGGTCGAAAATGTTAAATTTAAAGTAGAACCCAAATATATTTTATTACACAATTTTTAAATAAGGATTTTAAATTTTCCTTAATTGGGGATTAGAAAATAATCATCCTTGATATTGGGGCCTAAAGTCTCACTCAAAGTTAAAGTTCCTTTCCTGTTAAATGAGAAAATGACCTGGGATGATTCCAATACAGTTCTAACATATTCCATGATAATTGTGTCATGACAAGCAAGAGTAGAAAGAACAATCAGTACTAATTCCACCTACATGTACAACTAGTCTTAAATGACTGCCTTGATTCTCGATCATTTAATCTTAAAGGGAAAACTGCTTAATAATGAAAAAGATGGTGACACTGGAAGCAGAAACACTAATTAACTGAGCAAATATGTTAGGGAGAAGAGAACATGAACTCAGTTTTCCTTTAACTATCCTAGAATTTCTGATGAACACAGAGGCCCAGATCCTTAAAATTTTGAAGTCTTTGCTAGGTAATCTTAATAAATGTACAAAGATATTTTTAAATAAAATTTAAAATAATTTTTCCAAACATTCAATACTAAAAGAGCCAGGTTGCTCAATGTTGTTAGACCTCATATGTTTTTTACACATTATTTTTATATTTTTAAATAAAATTTAAAATAATTTTTCCAAACATTCAATACTAAAAGAGCCAGGTTGCTCAATGTTGTTAGACCTCATATGTTTTTTACACATTATTTTTAGTGTTTTGAAAATTTGCCAGAAGTATATATTTTAATATAAATAGGTTTTAGATATTCACTGCTTTCCCTTCTTGAAAATTTCCAACCAAAAAGGATTCATATGTGTGCCAAACAAATGTTTTTATAATTGGTGCAAATAGGCTCAAAACAACATATGTGTCAGTACTTTTTGCAGACTTTCAATCACTTACGGATCTAAGGGCATATGATAGCTGGGATCAATCATAGCCAGATTAAAGTTTTTTAGAGAATATCTCCAGTATTTTATGAAATTCATATTTGACCCCAGTACAATGCACTGTTTTTGAACATTGCATATTTTATATCAGAGTTAGTATCTCTGCACCTTCATGAGCACATAGTTCCCAGTACCTGTTGGTGCACCACTGAATAGAAAGTTTCCAGGAGCCATGATATGTGGTTATTGTCTTTAATAAGAGTAATTAGTCCATTAGCATTTTTATTGAGTATCCTCACAGTGCTTTCAGCACTCTGCTAGAGATAAAAAGGTAGTACAAATGAATTATAAGATTAGAAGGGAGTTTAAATGGTATTTGACAACATAAACAAGTAGAGACTAGAGCATAGAGTTTAGTTTACTGCATTGATTAGGCCATACAGTGGCCCAGGTCCTGTATGAAACTTAGTGACAAAACAGTGAATAAGACATAATCTCTGCCCTCAAGGGATTCTGTCTAGTTGTGGCAGTTCTGGGCTCTGAGAATCTGATGAAAGTAATTACATATCTACATTGTCATGAGCTTTGAGATTCCCTTGGAGCTCATCCAGAAGATTGAGGAGCTGGGGAATGAGTACAGAATGATGACAACTAAACAGATAAGCCTTAACCAAGATGAGAATAAACGAAGTATAACCTGAGATTCAAGCAACTTTAAAATAATTTAAAACATTTTCTTTGGGAAATGATTTATCCATCTGTTCATCTATCTAGACATGTCTAATCATAAAGCTTATACCCTATTCCCAGAGTCCACTTTCAGAAACACGGTTTTAATCATGTCACCCATGCTTACAAAACTTCAGTGGCTCCCAATTGCCTATAGCAGCAATTTGCGACCTTTTCTCCTCTTTCGACAACCAAGCGGGATAGATGATGAATGCCATTCATCTGAGCAGCTCCATTTACATCCACTACTATGCCCAGGATTATTTGCAAATTCAGGCATGCCAGCTGTAACTCTGCCCACCTTCTCTCCAACTCAGGAAGGCACATCATGGTACACATGAGGAAGAGTAACATTCACATGTGCTGTAATATATTTCAGAAGTAAATTATTCCCCAACTGTGTGCTTTACTTCTACTAATAAAGTACTTGCAGCATGCCTCAAAATTAATCATAGTATAGGTCAAGACACCACAGCTAAAAACCACATTCTTATTGGTATATCCAAACTCCTTTCTATGGTATACAATATGATTCATTTGCCAGTCTGAGTCTAAACCAGATCTCAGGGTTGGTTAAGCCTGTACCCATGCCCCCGACCCCCACCTGACATACACAAGTATCCTTTCCAGATTACATAAAGATCCTGAAACATATTCTATATGATTCATTTGCCAGTCTGAGTCTAAACCAGATCTCAGGGTTGGTTAAGCCTGTACCCATGCCCCCCACCCCCACCTGACATACACAAGTATCCTTTCCAGATTACATAAAGATCCTGAAACATATTCTGCAATTACAACCTTCTTTGTTTTTGTTCTTTCTGACCAAAATATCCTCTGCCCACTTCTACACTCAATGAATCCCACCCTCTTACCTTTAAGTGCAAACAAGTGTTTGCTCCTCTGGGAGACCTTCTGAGTAGACCTTCTAGTAACCACACCTTATCACAGCCCAAACCGGAGGAAGGGTTATGGGCCCTCTCCTGTGTTCCTGCACTACTTTATGTCATATGTATCTGGTTCCTGATTTTTCTCATTTTATGCTACTGTATCCCTATCCTATTATATCCCTATTATGTTCTTTTATTCATCAAGGCCAAAAACCCATGTTTTACTTCTTTGTGTTTCCAGAATCTAGCATAAAAGTACATAGAAGTACACTTAGGGAATATTTGTCAAAGTGATTCACCAAAGGTTGTAGGCAGAACTGATCTAGGTATCCTATTAATTGTACTATGTTTTGTTAATTTTATTAAAGAAAGAAAATTAAATGTACAAAGGTCGCAATATATTGAGTGAAAAGGTACTTTTGTATACTGAAGAGAATTATTTTTAAAGTGCTTATTATCACGCTAGCATGCTCTCAAGTTTTTAGGAACTGATTGTACAAGCCCTGAGCTTTCCATTCTTTCCCCAGACTTTAATTCCTATCTTTGAGGGCTTCACTGCATGTTGCTAAAACCTCCAGAGGGTGGGAGGGAGAAATGAGACTCAAATTGCTGCTTTTTTTACTTCTCTGCATCTCTGTTGAAGCATTTTAGAGGGATAGAAATACACTGATACAATAGATTTCATGGTTATATTCATAACTATATATCCTCAATTTTTATAGATATTCATACACACATACATCATTCCTCTTTATTCATGAGCATGTCTATAAAAGGGATTAACATAAATGAACCCAGGTATTCTCTGAGGATAAATGTATTCTGATCAGAAATGAGAATAATTTGGAAATCATTCAGTGACAGAATACCTGTCTTTTCCTTCTCTCATGTTAGGAAACAAATGCCTATATAAACAGTGGAAGAGAGTATCCCATTTTTATAAGAACACTGAAGTTAGGAGGAATGAGATTGGTATGTTATATAGTTCCTTGTACAAGGGATAATCAATTAATGGTTTATTATGGAGACTGTTGTATTTGATCATCTAGAATTTACTCAAGAGTAGATAGACAGACAGATAGATAGATGAGAGAAAGGGAGAGAGATGCATGGACTAACAGGCTTATTGCCCATTCTTGTTATTTATTTACAACATTTAAAAGCTTTGTATTAAAATTATGCCATCCATGTTGTCACATGGGGAGTCCTCAAAAAGCTTATGGGAAGATTTATATTATCTTTTAATTCCATTTTTTCTGTGATCACTTAGGAGTGCCTTTGTATTTTCCAAAGATATTAATTTGGTATAAGAATCTGGTCAAGAAGAAGGCAATTTCAAATTTGTTCTTTAATGACATAAGGGTTAGCTGGTTTGATAGGCATCTTATCAAAAGGAAAAGAAAGCAGACTGGTGCAAGTTCACGGTCACAGATTTTATTCATAGCTCAGGAGGCTCCTTGGCATGTGCATGTGGTATATTTTATGTAGAGCACGGATTATTTTTTTCTTTGCATCTACTGGCATTGTCGCATGAGCTTCTTATAACCATTATGAATCTTCATGAAGCTATACTAGCTTTCCTTTTCACACCAAATGTATGAATTTATCTTTTAGATTTCCATGTAGAAGAGGCACTGGATTGGCCTGGAGTATACTTGTTACCAGGCCAAGTTTCTGGAGTGGCTCTGGACCCTAAGAATAACCTGGTGATTTTCCACAGAGGTGACCATGTCTGGGACGGAAAGTAAGTAATATTTTTTCCTTCTAGCAGTAAATGGAAATAAAAGTGGTATATATCATTTTTCATTAAGAATTATGGTGAGAGAACTATATAAGGGTTCTTTTTGAACTCGATTTTTATGAACAAAACGTTTGTTCTTTTAATGTATAAGTGGTAGAAAGGAAGTCTTGTGCATTTTAAAACAAAGTAGTTTAAAGAACTAGTTTACAGAAAGAAAGCGGTAACAATCTGATACCACCTAATTACCACTTTGCTCTCTCCTCCTTGAAGCTACCTTCACTTCCTAAGGGAAATAATATTAAAGGTAGTTCAGTCAGTACATTGCTGAAAGATTTCAAGACTTCAAAGAATATGAGAATGTGATGTTGATTGGGGGGAGGGGAGAAAAGGAGGAATTGGTAGAGGGACTTGAAAATCAACTACATTGTGTATGGATAAATTAAAATAAAAAACAAATACATATAAAAAATAAATAAATGGTTTTTGCATAAAATTTAAAAAAATGTTTAAATAAAGAATATGATCATGATAAGTGATCAACTAAGACAGGTTACTAGTTGACTATAACAGAGCACTTTGTTATTTTCATATCCTGGATGCAGAACTATACTAAGGCCATTGGACTCTCTCTTTCCATCAGACCACTTCATGGCCATGATAACAGTTAACCTCCGGACATTGTGCTTGAAGCAGTTTGGCCTCCACTTGTGTGAAAGTAGTACCTTGGCGTTTTAATATAGATTAATTTTATTGCTCAAATTTGCTCTTTTCATGGGCATCAAAGACTTAAGAATAACATGCCGACAGTCCAATACCTCTGCTTCTCCTGTGGGTTTCCCTTTCCAACCTTTCATTCTATCTTCTGCTACCTTCTGAGAGGGAGTTTTAGTAAAAATGTCCAACATTTATTGTTTCCTGTGGGCCTGTCACTGTTCCAAATGTTGACATAAATTGCCTCACCTTGTAAATTACCTTAAGCAGTTTTATTACCATCATCATTCTCATTTTACAGATGAAGAAACTAAGAGAAACGCATTGCCCAGAGACTCACAGTTAGCAGTGGCAAAAACAGGCTTCAGTTCCTTTCAACCTAACTCTGGAGTTGGCCCACTCAACCACTTTGCAGTACTGCTTTTTAATAGAATTGTAAGCAATTCACATGACTGTATTTTTTAAAGTTTGCCCCAGAATTTAGTAGGTTATTTTATTTCTCCTGAGCAATGAATATCTGTTTACTCATTTCTTTTATTACAAATTACACATGAAGGCAAATTTTAGAACATCTTATCAGTTGATTCTAATGAATCTTTTCTTTCTAATCAATCCTTTCACATGTACAACTATAGGGTCTCATTTGGAAAATTGAGAATCTACATATATATTCACGTGTTTTAACTCCATTTTCAGAGATGTTGATTAAACTTATGGTAAACCTGCTCTGTCACGTATCCACCTGTGTAATTTTCTTTGTGCAGTGGAGATGGAATTCAGTCAACATTTCAAAATAGATTGGTAGTTTTGTTATTGCTTAATTGTCCTTTCCAGTTGTCACACTTGAAAATAGAATCGGAGAAAGACATCACTTCAGAGTTCAAAGCAAACAGTCAAACTCAACATTCATATTCATACAACTCTGTTGCATCATCTTAGTAATTATTGAACTTCTAATGGTATTTCAACAAGTGCTTTTAAAAGCAAACTATTACTATTCATTGTAGCATATTCTTCATTTTAATAAATATTGCTACGTTTTCTGCATGGATTTCTAGTCACATTTTACCAGATGAGAAAATTACAGCATCATTTTCTCCCATTGATACTGTTTCAGCTGGCTAAAGCTAAATTGGACAAAGTCCAGTTATCCATTTTAATATGATATTCATTCCAAGTACACAGCAGAGGCTGCAATAGTTTAATAGAAAAAGGGATCAGTAAAGACCAGCTGGGGGTAGGACACAACATAGGACTATGAAACAAGAGCCACTTAAGAGCATTTTCTTTATATGGCAGTCCTAGCTGAAAAGCTGCTTTTGTCCTGGCATATAGCTTGCATCTAGATAACCAGTATCTTGTGGAAATGGATTCCAGTTGCATTGCCAAAGCCTGGTGTGTTTGCCCTGATAAACAGCATCAACAAAAGGGTGCTGTTGGAAATGCAAGACTTCTTCAGAGCAGACAGCTGATTTTACTCGTTAAATCTCTGTTTCTTCTTCTTCCTTCATCTTTATTCTTCAGATGTAAGAATATTTGTTATTTCTCTTGCCTTCTTCCTTTCTGGTATTGCTTTCAGGCCTCTAGCAGCCTTTGCAATCCATGATTGTGAGGAAATTCTTCTCTGGCACTTGGATCTCTGCTTCCAGCTATTCTCTGCTTTGTTATTTATCAAGGGAATTAGAAATAGATTACTCTGTTAGATTTTTTTTTTTGGGGGGGGGTTGTTTTTGATTTTGTTTTGGAAAATAGATTCATATTTGCTCAAAGAACAAATTATATTCGGGCTCTGTTCTTTGAATGGTCATGCATGATGATCCTTCCTACAGGGGGGGGGGTTGTTTTTGATTTTGTTTTGGAAAATAGATTCATATTTGCTGAAAGAACAAATTATATTCGGGCTCTGTTCTTTGAATGGTCATGCATGATGATCCTTCCTACACATACAGAAGTCACATTGCATAAATTAGACAAAGTATAGGTTTTCTTTTCCTTTGTTAAAAATCCAAGGATTGTACAAAGAAAAAGACAGCACCCTCTTGCAGAATTTATGATGGGCTGGTAAGAGACAATGGAAATCACATTCTTGTTGCAACCACTACTTGAATAGAGTAGTGAGAAATCCTGTATTAATTTTCCTTGGAATCTTTCCTATTCTGATATTCCACAGGCTCACAAAAGTGTAGGTTCCGTAAGATCAGGGTTTGCTCTAAATCCTATCAAGCACTCTATGTCCCATAGTTCTTAGGAGATGATTCTTCTTTAAATATCAGACAGTGCTTGGAGTTAATAATAATCCCTAATTAATTCCTTAAGCTCCTTTGATATCACTGCATCAGCTGTCTTTATAAGTATTATTACTCTTCATTCCTACCTGCTAACTCTAATCAGCCCTTACTCTTCTACTTAACCATGCTAAGCCTAGTAACCAAATATAATAATAATAATAGTAATAATAATAATAATAATAATAATAATAATAATAATAATAATAATAATAATAATAATAATAATAATAATAATAATAATAATAATAATAATAATAATAATAATAATAATAATAATAATAATAATAATAATAATAATAATAATAATAATAATAATAATAATAATAATAATAATAATAATAATAATAATAATAATAATAATAATAATAATAATAATAATAATAATAATAATAATAATAATAATAATAATAATAATAATAATAATAATAATAATAATAATAATAGTAAATCATTAATCTCGTGGAAGATGAACTACCTTTCTCAATTTGATTTTCGTTTTTCTCCCTTACTTCAATATGGCTACTTTAAGAAGCTTCTTTTAGCTGAGATAGGAAATGCCTGTTGCCAGCAGGATATAATAAACTTTAAAGAGCCTCTTGTCTATCCTGGTGTTAGAGCAGCATGGCAGCTAGAGCTCTTTAAAGTTTAAATGCCTCCCAGCAGGAGCTTGGTAGCTCCTGCCTCAGTAACAGCTGTTCCTGGGTCTCTGTCTTAAAATCACCACCACTGTCAAAGCCTTGCTTCTTGGCCTTTCTTTCAGGTTTCTTACCTATTGTTGAGTTGTACTCTGTGGGACTCACATCACATACCCACTTAACTAAACTATGGGTTTTGCCCCTAACTTTTAGGCATTAAAAGTTGTATCCCTTATATCGTTTATATTATATTATATTATTGGAAAGGATCTTGGAAGTTATATCACTTCACATTTTTTCTGTCACCAATAAAAAATTGGTGACTTTGAGGGATATGGTATAATTGAAAACTTTGAGGGATATGGTAGCCCAAAAGAGAACACCAGAATCCTTTCTTCAACACATTTTCTACTGAGTGGCTCCATTTCCAGGCCCTGAATGATGCTGTTCCCCCTTGCAGCTTCAGAACCGCAATATCGTGCTAATCTCACAGAAAAGACAGTGTAATCCCTGGTAGGCCAACAGAAACTCATTAAATTGAGTCTTTGTAGTGTTCCTTGGTTTCACTTAGATTGTGTCTCCTCCATCCTTGAACCACACTCATGGTTGACAGAGGAATGAAATCCACTCTTTAGCTTAGCCTATGTCTTTTATTCTACCTCTAGAACGTGGGAGTAGAGTCAACATCATCTGAAACAAATAGGCTGACAGTAGGGATCAAAATGTTGGGTCAAATAAAGAAAAGTTGAGGTTTCATTAACAGAAAGTGGGGCAGTAGACTTTGGGCACCCAAAACAGCAAATGTCCACCAGAGAGCTTTTCTCCATCCTCCCGCCTAATGCACTTCTCTCTTCTACAACACCTTCAACAGCCATCCAGTGTTTGAACTTTTTCAGTGCTAAGAAGTTCCCTAGGTATGAGACATGCTATCCTGTTCTTCATTATGGTAAGCTCAAATCTGAGTCTTGTAACTCCACCCTTATGACAGAATGATGCAGATGAATTTACACCCATTTATCCATGTCAATTATTTGCATAGTTGAAGAAAGTCTCATCTTGTGCAGACTAAATATTCCCCAGGCCCTCTGCCTGTCTTGATACAGACATGAGTACTTTCATCTGAAGGTGCTTTGCTTCTCAGTCCTTTAAAGCGTTTGCTCTAGAAGTGGCCGCAATACCTGATATATTATCTAATCAGTGATGCAGTTACTTTCCTTGATGGGTATTCTAGATATCTATTAGTATAAAAGGGTTGTATTAACTTTTTTTAGCATGTTGCCTTCTGTTGAATTTGTATTCTTCTAAAATCTCCAAATACATTTAATAAAATTGTGCTGAAATTTTTATCATGTGAAGGAAATGGTTAATG